GTCCATGGGCCACCACAGGAGCGCAAGGGAATTCACAAGGAGGTGGTGCAGCGCATTCATGCTGGACAGCGAGCTGTAGACATTCACGTGTACACATGCACACCCGCCCGCCCACTCCGAACGCCTTTCTTCCCAACCACTCCCTTGCCTCCACCCTGCGATCCCCACAGGAGCGCAAGGGCATTCGCAAGGAGGTGGTGCAGCGGATTCGTGAGCTCAACATGCTGGATAGCGAGCTATTGGACTTTGCCCGCCAGGTCTTCAAGCAGCAGCAGGTGTGTAGTCAACTCTCAATGTGCCGTTTCTTTTGAGGCGTCTCAGAGCTCAACATGCTGGACAGCGAGCTGCTGGACTTCGCCCGCCAGGTCTTCAAACAACAGCAGGTGTGTAGTCAGTTCCCTGTGTGCGCGGTGTCTCTTTTGAGACGTCTCAAAAGGTATACGCGAGCTCAACATGCTGGACAGCGAGCTGCTGGACTTTGCCCGCCAGGTCTTCAAATAGCAGCAGGTGCGCACGCACTCAGCTCTGTGTGCGGTCTATTTTGAGGTATCTTAAAAGCACTTTTGAGGCATCTTTTGAGGCGTCTAAAAAGGCATTCGTGAGCTGACCATGCTGGATAGGGAGCTTCTGGACTTGTGTGAGATAAGTCGATTTTTTAGTCGACTCGAAAATCGAGCTCCTGGACTTCGCCCGCCAGGTCTTCAAGCAGGAGCAGGTGCGCACGCACTCAGCTTTACTCTGCTCTAGACTGCTCTGCTCTGCCATTCTGTGCTCTCGCCCTTGCCTCTCTCTGCAGCGGCTTATCAATAACAGCACCTCCTCTGTGCTATGTGCAGTTGGCGTATGCAGACATGATCAAGGCGGTGATGGAAGAATAGCCCATGGACAATAACACTCTTTCTTACCTGTATACATCCCCCCTACCCTCGTCCCCACTCTCCCCTCACTCCCCTTTGTCCAGTTGGCGTATGCGGACATGATCAAGGCGGTGATGGAGGAGTGGCCCATGGACAACAACACTCCTGTCCGGACCTTACCTCTCTGTGCTCACTCTCCCCACTCCTTCTCCCCCCTCCACCCCTCTCCCTCCCCTTTGTGGTGCCTTACGTTGCAGTTGGCGTATGCGGACATGATCAAGGCGGTGATGGAGGAGTGGCCCATGGACAACAACACAGACAACAGCCACATCGGCCGCAGGAGACGGCTCTCCTCCCCCTATGCCTCCCCGCGCAGCACCACCGCTAGCAGCAGCAGCAGCAGCAGCAGCAGCAGCAGCAGCAGCAGCAGCAGCAGCAGCAGCAGCAGCAGCAGCAGAATGTTTACGAGAGGAGGGGGAATCTCTCCTGCTGCGGCTTCTGGTGCTGCTGCTGCCTCTGTGCCTGCTTCTTTGGCTGGTGATGCCAGCAGCATGCTGCAACAAGTGGGTGATACAGATGCATCAGCAGCAGCAGGACGAGCAGCAGCAGCAGCAGCTGAGGGTGATGATGGTGATGACGATGGGTATGGAGACGATAACGATTGCATGTCCTACGCGTTTGAAGCAGTGGCCGGGCAAGCAAGCGGCTCGCTGTAATACCGTAGTTGCATCACCCTTTTAGGGGAATACATGGCTGGTTGGAGAAAGTTTGCGTCTGCGATTTGTTTATTGTTTTGAAAAATAGTATAACCGTATGCACTTTTGGCCTGTCTCACACTAATGTATGTGTCGAACCGATCTGCAGCTGTATGAGCGCTAACGAGTGGATGTCAGTGGGTTGTGCATGCGATGTGAGTGTGCGTGCGTGCTTCTTTTATAAGAGTGGGGCTAATGTGTTTATGCATACTGTACTCTCTTGTGCTCTATTGGTCCCCCTTCACTGTACTCTATAGTACTCTCGCGGCTCCCCTTCACTGAACTCTCTTGGTTCTAGACTCGCACTGTGAATACGTGGCCGAATGGGTACCGTCTGACGAGCTTTGAGTAGACGAGACGCTTTGAAGGAGGTAGGTGGCACCAAGGAGGAGGCGGCGAGATAAGGGCGCGTTGCAATTCCCGGTGCACTGCATCGGCTCGGCTCGGGGCACGGGTTTAGGAAGGTTTCAGGCAGCCGGGAGGCCGAGCCAATGCGGTGCACTGACTTGGCACGGCATGGCTCGAGCCGAGTCAGTGCACTGCATCGCTATGGCTCGAGCCAGCACGACCTGGCATGTGCCATCAAATTGACCCCCGCTGCCAAACCACCACTCTGCACTCGCCACATTTCCCGATTCGTGTCAGGAAATTACGTAGTGCCATTCTCGAATGTCATAACGAATTTTCGAGGTTCCCGACTCCCGAGGCTCGAGTCAGGCACGACCTGCCTCGTGCCAATTCGAGCCAAGCCGATGCAGTGCACCGGGAATTGCAACGCGTCCTAAGGAGTGACGGAATGGAGAGCAAGAAAATTCTTAGTGGTTAGTGGGTACATGCATACAGTGCAACATATATACCGTAGAATTTACACTCAACAGTGGGAGAGGGAGGTACTGTAATAGGGGCATTCCGTTCACAAGAAGAGAGTAGTTCTCAAAACAATGGGTGACCTCACAGAGTGCCCCAGCTCATCCTTCCAAGTTAAGCTCCCATAAAGAAACCTATTGAACGTCAAACCCGGAGGCGAAAAAAAGGTCACTGAGTAGCTGACCGAGTGTCCGGGCAGGATGCGAAATCTTTGCGGCGTCACCTTGGTGTAAACCAAAGGAGGGCTCTTCACCACAGCCCTGTAAGTCGAAGCTTTCGCTGCAACATTGGTTACTCTACGCCTCACAGTTACGAATCCCGAAAACCACGTCACCGAAATACTCGGCCGGTTTAGCCGAGCTGCTTGTATGGGGTACAGCCTCTCCCCAGGATACGCCGCCGCCGCCAGTCCCATGTTCTGCCCGGCCAGAAAATTCCGAAAATCGGCCGCCCGGAGATCATACGTCAGTCCAGGATCGAGCAGCCGCAGAGTATCCACGTGTCCTGCTCCCATTTGCCACGGACTCGCCCGTTTCCCCGCCCAGTTCTGAATCGGCCGGCCGTTGCTGCTGGTAGCGCGAGCCGTGGTGGTAATGGCAGACATGATCTGACCCACGCTCCAAGAAGGATTCCGCTGGATAAGCAACGCAGCAATCCCCGCGATATGCGGGGTAGCCATAGACGTTCCCGACAGCTGTGCAAAGAGGGAGGTGGCGGGGGAAGCGAGCCTTCGAGCAGCGGGAGTAGCAGCCCAAAGGTTCACTCCTGGAGCAATGATGTCTGGTTTTAGGATGTCGTTGGTGGGGCGGCCGTTGCGCGGGCGAGAGGAGAGAGAGAGAGGGCCGGTGGAGGAGAAGTCGGCGACGTATGGGGGAGCAGGGGCGGAGGTAGTGCTGTTTGGTGGTACTGCTGATGCTGATGATGCTGGTGATGATGATGGTGATGGTGAAGCGTTGGGGTTTGCGGTGGTGGTTGTGGTGTTGGCAGTACTGGTGTTGAAGATGGGTGTGAGTGTGGATGGTGTGAGTGTTGAGAGTGTGAGTGCAGACGCGTGTGAGGAGGCTTTGGCGAAGGACACACCGGAGTAGGTCACAGATCGACTGATGGTGCTGGAGAGAGGGGAGGGGGAAGAGCATGGGAGAACAAGCAGTCAGCACAACCAGTTTTTGAGTCAACCGAGTGCAGATGCGTGTGAGGATGATTGGGCGAAGGACACACCGGAGTAGGTCACAGAGCGACTGATGGTGCTGGAGAGAGGGAGGGAGGGAGGATAGGGGCGGAGAGGAGGGGCAGACAAGCAGTCAGGACAACCAGTTTTTGAGTCGACTAAGAAATCGTGTGAGTGCAGATGCGTGTGAGGATGCCTTGGTGAATGACACACCATAGTAGGTCACAGAACGACTTGATGGTGCTGGAGAGGGGGTGAGGGGGGAGAGGAGGGGAGAACAGACAGGCAGGCAGCACAAATTGTGTGAGTGCAGATGCGTGTGAGGATGCCTGGGTGAAGGATACACCGGAATAGGTCACAGAGCGACTGATGGTGCTGGAGGGAAGGAGGGGGTCCGGGGGATATGGGCGGAGAGGATGAGAAGACAGGCAGGTAAGCACAACCACACACGCACAACCGAGAAACATCAGTCTGGCAAGGCACTTCTTGAGTTGAGCGAGAGGGTACGAAACGAAGTTGACTGTTAAAGGGCTCTGATGTGGTTGGCAGGTGGGAGGAGGGCATGGCATGGCATGGCATGGCATGGCGTAGTGGCACAGCACGAGATGCCACGGAACGGTACGGAACGGAACGGAACTGTATGGTTACCTGGCTCCAACGGTGATGTAATAGGGGGAGAAGTTGTAGACGGTGCGCGCAAAGGAAGTGGCAGGTGGTGCCATAGCATAGGAAATGGAGTGGCACGGTACAGTACGGCATGGCACAGCACGGTACGGCACGGTACGGCATGGCACACAGGTGTACCTGGCTCCAACGGTGATGTAGTAGGGGGAGAAATTGTAGACGGTGCGTGCAAAGGAAGGCGCACCGGCGTTGCCCGCTGCAAACACCACCACTATGCCCGCCTGCACGCGTGGCCGCATCGGGATGTGGATAGGGGATGGGGAAGGCATGGAAAGGGAGGGGAGGGGAGGGGAGGGGAGGGGAGGGGATAGGAGGGGAGGGGAGGGGGCGGAGCAGAGCCATAGAACGAGAGTGAGATTCCAGTCAGTACGTGCGTGCAGCCCTCCAAGCTCACCTCCACGCCCACGGGCTGAGCCGAGCATCCAAAGCTTTGCAAAGGAAACCACCTCCCTCCCCACGGGCCACGTCTCCCTCCCTCCCTCCCCGCCCTCCAGGGCCTTTGTGGAGAGAAGGTTGCTTTTGAGTCGACTCAAAAGTCGAGTCGACTCAAAAGCCCCCTCCCTCCCCGCCCTCCAGGGCCTTTGTGGAGAAAAGGTTTGCTGCTTTGAGACGCCTCAACACATTCTCCTTTTCACGTCACTTCCCCCCACGCCTCCCCCACGCCTCACATCAAAAGCCCTTCACCCCACCGCCACCTCCAAGTCTCACCTCAAAGGCGCGCAAGAATGGCAGGTCATCGAAATATGTGGCCGAGGGGTTGTACCCGCCCAGGGACAGGCTCAGCACATCCACACCGTCGGATACGGCCTGATCCACGGCTGCAAACAGGTCTGCGTAGTTGCCCGAGCCGTACCCCCCCGCCACCTGCCAGAGCACCTTGTACATGGCTATGCGCGCCCGCGGTGCCATGCCGCTTGCCTTCCCGAGGGACTGTGTGTTGGAGACCTGTGCTGCCGTGTTGCTGTTGCCTGCTGCCGCTCTGGTAGGGGGAAGAAAGAAGGGAGGGCAGCACGGAAGGCGTTGGTGAGGGTCACAGGGGTTAGGGTTGCATTCCCCCTGGGCCCGGGGTTGGGTTTCCACCATCGCTCCCCCTTTAACCGCCACCTGCCATGCCAGAGCACCTTGTCTTGCACATGGCTATGCGTGCCCCGGGCGCTATGCCGTGCCACTGGCCCTCTTGAGCAACTGCGTGGGGGAGACCTGTGCTGCCGTGTTGCCGTTGCCTGCTGCCGCTCCGGTAGGGGGAGAGGTGAGGGATGGGAGGGATGGGAGGGATGGGGATGGGAGGGTAGGTGGGGGGGGGTTGTGCTGTGCGGGCAGGTTACACAGCGGGATATTAGTTATTTGGGTTGGCACGGTGGCACGGTGGCAAGGTTGATTTGTCACAGTCCATGGTGGAGTGCCCCACACCACACCACACCACACCACACCACACCACACCACACCACACCACATGCAACACTGTTATGACTCGCCCCACTCTTCTTACCCCCAAACCACTCAAGTTCAACCACTCTCCTCCAGTCCACATTCCAGTCCATTTCCCTGCCCGCTCACCCCCTTTCCCCACCCACTCACCCCCTTTCCCCACCCACTCACCCCCTTTCCCCACCCACTCACCCCCTTTCCCCGACCCCCTTTTCCGACAAACTCACCCCGCGCACCACGTGCCGTGCCCCACAGCATCCCTGGGCGAAGCATACTCGCGCGTCCACTTGCACTCCTCCTCCCCTCCTTGCTTCCCTCCCACACATACACCAACCCCCACCCACCCACCCACCCACCCACCCCCACTCACCCCGCACACCACGTGCCGTGCCCCACAGCATCCCTGGGCGAAGCGTACTCGCATCTCCTCTTCTCTTCCCTCCCACACAAACACAGCCTCCCACCCACCCACCCCCCCACTCCCCATAACCTCCCACTCACCCCGCGCACCACGTGCCGTGCCCCACAGCATCTCTGGGCGAAGCGTACTCGCGCGTCCAGTCGATCCTCGTGCCGCTCGCCTCCACTGCCGCCCGGAAGCTGCCGCCGCCCACAAGCTTGCCGGAGCAGGCAGAGGCGGGGAAGTCGGAGGAGGTGGGGCAGGCCCCCTTGAAGGACGCGGGTGGGGGGCCGTAGGGCACGGATGACTGGCGGGGGGGAGAGGGAGGAGGGGATGGGAGAAGAAGCTTGACACGTCCAAATAGAAGTCGGAGGAGGTGGGGCAGGCCCCCTTGAAGGATGCGGGTGGGGGGCCGTAGGGCGCGGATGACTGACGGGGGAGGAGAGGAAGGTATGGGGGGAAGGGAGCGGGAAGGGGAATGGTTGAAGGGGGAGGGTAGGGCGGAAGGTGGGAAGAACGGAAGTCGGGGGAGGGGGGGCAGGCTCCATTGAAGGATGAGAGCGGGGGGGCGTGGGGCACGGACGACTGGCGGGGGAGGAGGGGACGATGGGGAAGAGAGGAGGGAGGAAGTGGGGGGGGTGAGGGGAGAGGGGGGAGGGATGAGAGGGGAAGAGAACTGTGGAAGGGGGAGGAGAGGTGGGGACGATGGGTTGAGGGGGGACAGAGAGGGAAAAAAGAGGGAGAAGGGAGAGTGAAGAAGGGAGGGAAAAGGTGGATGGTAGGGAGGGCGGGGAGGAACAAAACAATAGTAGTCATAATACTAAGAATAATAATAACAATAATAATAATAGTAATCTGAATAAAGGTCTTCCAGTTTCTCTCTCACACGCACGTCATTCGCGAAGGACCGGTGCTCAGGCCAGATACCCGTGTCCACCACCCCCACTCCCCACTCTCAAACTCAAATGAGAGAACCACTGCCCCACTCTCTATTCCGCGTGCACGCACATCATTGGCAAAGGAGCGGTGCTCGGGCCAGATGCCCGTGTCCACCACCCCCACCACCACACCCTCCCCCGCGCTGCCTTCCCCGCCCGCTGCAGCCCAGAGCGACTGCGGGAGCTGGAGAAAGGCGGGCGTGGCGGTGGTGAGCGCGCGCACCTCCGCGCTGCCCCGCACCGCCGCCACCGCTGGATGGCGCGCGAGGCGCCACACCTGCTGCGGGGACAGCAGCGCTGCGAACGAGTTGCCTGCGAACGCGTAACTGGTAGGGGGGTGGGTGTGAGAGGAGAGGAAGCGGGAGTGGAAGGGAGGGAGGGGGGCGGGAGGGAGGGAGGAAGGAGGCAGCCGCTTCAAAACTCCTCGCCTCTCACCGTCTCACCTTCTCACCTGCCCACATGGGTCGACTCCACAGCCGGGACTCAGCACAGCACGAAGCCCTGATACTTGGCTAATGAGCCGATTCATATGGATGGCTTGGTGCTGATCCCCGCCTGCACTCTCACGCACGCACCTATACTCCAGGTGCCTGCCGGTTGTCTAGGTGCCTCAAAGCCCACGCTCACTCACTCACTCACCTACCCATACACCAAATGAGTGGCGCTGAGCCTTATATGTTGTACGCATCTCATGGGAAGTCTAGAAAACCCCTGCACTCTCACGCCCGCCCGCCCGCACGCCCGCACGCACGCCCGCCCACCCGCACCTACCTATACACCAGCTGCTCGGCGCGGAGGCCGACATGAGCGGCCACCAGGCGCTGCTGCCGCTGCAGCATGCGCTTGAACGCGCGCACGTGCGGAAGCCGCGGGTTCACCCGCCACTGCCGCCGCTTCCCCCCATTCGCACTCGCGGTAACTCTGTGAGCGCTTCCCGCTCCTGCAGCTCTCGCTGCTCCGACTGCCCCCCCTGCTCCGACTGCCCCCCCTGCTCCGACTGCCCCCCCTGCTCCGACTGGCCCCCCTGCTCCCCCTGCTCCGCCTGCATTCCCTGATGGGTCCCCGCCCGTGTCACCCCCCTCCTCATCACCCGTCTCCGAACCAGAGTCGGGGGGTTGCGGAGGAGCGATGGGGGGAAAGCCGGGGATGCCGCCGCGGTAGGAGACGATGGGGGGGGCGGAGCGGAGATGCACGATGTAGAGGGCGCGCGCGGGTCCGCGGGCGGAAGTGGCGGAAGAGGAGAAGGGCCGAGCTTCTGCCAAGACACGTGGTTTGGGAGGGAGGGAGAGAGTAAGGAGGGAAAGGAAAGAACGGGGGAAGAGGGAGGGGAGGGAGAGAGGGGAGGGGGGAGGGGGAGCGGGGAGGGGGACGGGGGGGAAGAAAGGGAGGCGGTAGAGTAGATTCGGAAAGTTGAATCGTCGGGTTGGCTGTCCAAGAAAGAGAGGAGGGACGAGTATATGAGCTTGTTGCTGCCCGACCTGCCCGCGGTGCTGCCCGTGCTGCCCGCGGTGCTGCCCGTACGCTGCCCGTGCAGCCCGGCGCGCGCTATGGAGGGTTACTGTCTTACCGCGGATGGACAGGGACGATGGAGCGAGACAGGCGACGAGCAGAAGCGACAGAATCGCCGATGCGACGGATGCGACAGGGAGTGCTCTTCTGCGACGCGCGCGACAAAGAAAGATGTCGCCTGCGCCCATGCTTGGCAACGACGCCGTGTTTCGCTCAAACCCGGCGACCACTGTGCGATAACAACTTGTGGCGGCGGAGACTTTGCGTGCAGGACAGGAGGTACGCGCGAGGGAGGGCGGGCGGGAGGGCGGAAGGGGAAGGCGGAAGGGAAGGCGGAAGGGAAGGCGGAAGGGAAGGCGGAAGAGAAGGCGGAAGAGAAGGCGGACGGGGCGGCGAAGCGAGAAGGAACGGAGACGGTTGCAATGGTAATGCGCCGGGGAGGAGGGACGAACGGGAGAGTCGTTCCACTATGAACAATATGCCTATGTCATTGCATCATCTGTTGGTGTTAGTCTGTATGCCGGCGATACAAGTCCTTGCGTCGATGCTGTTATGTGTTACATATGTGCTGTAATACTAAGGGATAGTGGGCACGTGGAATGGTCGTCGTAATGTAGCTGCTATGGGTGCGCGTCAACCCTGGGACGTCTACCAGTGCTCTGCTGCGGTTGTCAGCATTCGTGCCGCACAGCCGCGGATTCTGATTCAGCTAACCTACGGAAGCCAATGCTTTCTCGACTCGTTCCTTCCCAATCCATAGAAACCTCGGCCGTTTCGCTCCAAGCCTCGCGTCGTGCTTCTAACTAGGAGGGGCAGATTAATCTGCAAAGCTTGGCGTCGGAGTATGTCGAGCGTTGGTCGGTCGGTGGGTTGACGTGACGACGAGAGAAAGGAACTTTCGAGGCTGCCAGATGTACAGTACAGCATGGGCGGAATAACGGTGTGCCGGGCGGAACAGCATGGTGGTGCTCCATTGGCTACCACGCTTTCGGGCAGGATTATTCACAAATTTGAATTCGTAGACAAAAACATAATTTCTGGCTTTCAAACGCAAACCTCTCGTCTATGTCCATGCATTCCCCGAAAACTGTTCTATCCGTTTTAGTCATGCATTGTGATCAAGTCATGCCCTTCTGGTGGACCTGGGGATGCTTTGCCAGCCTGTATATCTCAACAGCTGGACAGAGTCCACGGCCGTCGCCCCGTCGATGGCTGCTTTAGGCGTCCTTTTTCTTCATTTTGCCTACTTTATCGATAAATGGAGGTCACACACATATTTTGTGTCCGACAAAAACAAGAAGCTGAGAATCACTAGAAATCCTATTAACCCAAGAAGGATTATTACAAGGACGAGAATCAAGTGTACAACTAAGATGTTTTTGTTTGGGCAGGGAAATTTGTCTTCTGGGGGCAAAATGTAACAAATTCGACACCCCTTATCAACCAGGCGGCGCAGGGCCACAAACGAAGGATGACGCGACGCGAGCCGCTGTGGAAGGCATTTGTCAGTTCAAATAACGTTCGATTGCGGAACTTTACGTTCTAGTATTTTAATGATCTGTTAGAAAGGGTGTGCGGAAATAACAATAACAATAAGGAAACATACCCCTGCCAAAATTCATGGCCACAATGATAAGCAACTTAGCCAAAGAATATCTGTACAAAAAAAGGGGTTTGTTTAAGTGCTCTTAGTTAGTGAGACATGATTTCGTATACATCATCACAGCTAATTTTCAAGATTCAGAAACCTAGTGGCATTGGTAGAAGAAACCATGTGTCACGTCACGTCTCGTACAACCGTTGCCATATCAGCATTTTCCCTTCCTTACCCTCTGCTCACCTCACACACGAGCCACAAACCAAAACAATCCTCACCAACCCAACACGAACTGCGCCTGAAAAACCAACCCCCATCTTACCACCCAACACCACCCCCTCTCCCATATCGAAACCGCCTAACCACCACACACACCCATCCTCCACACACCAACCATCCTCCTCACGCCCACCCTTCACGAGCAGGTCGTGAGCACAGACGTGGCCACATGCAGCAGCAGCTGCAGCTCCCGCACCACACTCTCACTCAGCCGCCCCGCACCCGCTCCCGCTCCCGCCGCACCCCCATCGCCCCCATCCCCCTCCGGCTTAGCAGCAGCAGAAGCCAGCACGCGGTGCACAGCATGGTACAGCTGCTCGAGAATAGGGCGCATATGCACGCCCAGCTGGGGGTGGCGCGGCTGGAGAGTCATGAGGGACTTGATGAGCCAGGGGACTTTGGTAGCCGTGTCGGCTTGCAGGTCCACGCTCAGCTGCTGCACGAGGGAAAGGAGCACGCCCTGGCTGAGGGGTGGGGAGGCGGAGAAGACTGCCTCCGGTTTCACCTGGCGGGGGGTGGGGGAGGAGAGCGATGGGGGTGTGAGTGCAGGATGGGGGAAGGGGGAGGAGGTGGAAAACGGAGTGGAGGTTGGTGGGCTTGAAGAGGGACGGGGATGGGCAGTGACGGAGACGAGGGAGGGACCAAGATTGGGAGAGAGTAGAGGGATTCAAGTTCAGAAGGAAGAAGACAAAAGGGAGCGGCAACAAGGAGAGGCGTCTGGGAGCAACAGAACACCTGGGATAACCAGAACAACTGGGAGCATCATAACATATCCGAGCAGCAGCAGCAGCAGCAGAGAGAGAGAGCGCACCTGGGAGCAGAGCCAGGTGACAATGGCGACGTCTGAGAGGGAGAGGGCGCGGGTGAAGGCAGCCTCGTAGCTGCCGTCTGCCAGCAGACGCGAGATCTCCCTGGTGGGGTCCAGCGCTGCTTCCAGCTGCTCCAATGGCACCGCCTGCTTCACAGATCGCAGCACGGAGGAAGAGGGGTTCGCGGGGGAGAGGGGGAGGGGGAGGGAAGAGGGGAGGGGGGATGCCGGGGGCGGAGCGGTTTGTTAGTCTGTCAACAAGTGACGGATCTCCCCTGGTGGGGGGGTCCAGCGCTGCTTCCAGCTGCTCCAATGGCACCGCCTGCTTCAGGAATCATAGGAAAGCGGCAGGGACGGGGGAGGAGGGCATTGCAGAGCGGCTTGTTGCTTGTCAACGCTGGTAGGGGCCCAACACTGCTTCCAGCTGCTTCAACGGCACTGCCGGCTACAGGAAGCACAAGCAGATAGCAAGCACCGGGAGAGGGAGAAGGCGAGCGGAAGGAAGCAGCAAATGCAAGGGAGGATAGGGAAGGATTTGTTGTTTGTCAAGACGGGTGCGATCTCCCTTGTTCACAATCCACTCACCTTCCCAGCCAGCCCATTGCCCTGTGTAGCATCAGCGGCAGCACTAGAGGTGACTTTTGAGTGGACTCAAAAGTCATCTCTTTGAGTCGACTCAAAAGTCTCCCTTGTTCACAATTCACTCACCTTCCCAGCCAGCCCATTCCCCTGTGCAGCATCAGCGGCAGCACTAGAGGCATCCTTGCCTCCTGCTGCCCCTGCGGCTGCTACTCCTGCTGCTGCTGCTGCTGCCGGGGATGCAGCTGTGGGAGCAGCGGCAGCAGCAGGCAGGGCAGTGAGAGCCTGCAGGTGCTGCTGCAGAGTTGAGGAGACAGTGTTGAGCGATGCAACGGATTCCTGCATGTAGGTGGGGGGGGAGGGAGGAGAGAGGGGTAGGATGGAGGAGAGAGGGATGGGTTGGAGGAGAGAGGAGTGGGAGGGAGTGAGGAGTGGGAGGGAGGAGTGAGGAGTGGGAGGGAGGAGAGAGGGGTGGGAAGGAGGAGAGAAGGGTGGGAAGGAGGGAGGGGTGGGCGAGAGGAGAGCGGGGTGGGAGAGTGGAGAGAGGGGTGGGGAGAAAACAGCTTGATAATTGAGGGGAATGAAAGAGGGGAGGACCCCACATAATGGTTGAGTTTTCCAGGAGTTGGTGACTTTTGAGAAGGGTGTAAATCGAGACCTTTTCGAATACCAGGCAGAGCATTGGTTACCTTACCCCCCGTTTTGTTAAACCTTCGCAAATACAAAACCATGGAAGAACGGAGAGGGGGGAAGGGGGGGGGAAGGGAAGGGAGACAATGGTAGGAAGGAGTGAGGGAGAGGGAGAGTGCGATTCGGCAGAGATTGCAAGGACTCCAGGTACTCCAGATTCTTCAGCTACAGCACTAGCACACGCATTCTCGCATACACACGCACGCACGCACGCACTAATCCCTACAACCACCCCCATCCCCGCCCCCCACCCCCACCCCCACCCCCACCCCCACCCCCACCCCCCCAACCCACCCCCCCACTGCCTCCCCCACCCACCCACACACCCACGCACACCCACCTGGATGGAGGCGTTGGCAGCAGCAGTCACGCCCTGCATCTCCTGCTGCATCTTCACCACCTGCTGCTGCTGCAGCGCCGCCAGCTGCTGCTGAATCTGCCCCTCAACCGCTCCCTGCACCGCTGCCTGCACTGCAGCTTGCACGGCCGCCTGCTGTGCGGCCTGCTGGGCTGCGAGGCCAGAGCGGAGGGAGCGGTCGAGCTGCGAGAGCATCTCCCGCACGGCGCGCTCCATTGCCGGCACTGCTGCCTCTGTGAACGCCCGCTGCACCGCGTCGGATAGGGACGCCTGCAGGGACGACTGGGAGGGGGAAAGGGATGGGATGGGACGGGTGGTGGTGGAGAGGTGGTGAGGTGCAGTGATATGGATGATGCCCCGTCATGGTTGGAAGGACTTCTGTGGCGCCTCAAAAGTATGCCTGCACAGCTGCCTGTTGCGCGGCCTGCTGGGCTGCGAGGCCAGAGCGGAGAGAGCGGTCGAGCTGGGAGAGCATCTCCCGCACGGCCCGCTCCATGGCTGGTACTGCTGCCTCCGTGAACGCGCGCTGGCCAGAGTCGGACAGGGACGCCTGCAGGGACGACTAGAACGGGGGGGAGGGGATGGGACGGGTGGTGGCGGAGAGGAAAGGTTTCAAGGCGGATAGTTGTGCTCAGGAGTTGTGCTAGATAATTGTTATGCGCGGACCAGAACTTGCCAATCATTATAAGAGGCGGGTAACGAACAACCGCAAAAAGAACAACAATAGTAGCAACCAAGGAGGGATTAAGGGGAGGGTAGGGAGGGGGTTGCAAATGCGTGTATGCGATTCATGTATGTGTGGGTGAGAATGGGAGAGGAAAAAGTGGGGGAGGGGGAGTAGGGAGAAGAGGGGAAGGAGGAAGGGGCAGGTGAGGCTTACAGCGACGGCTGGTGGGATGAGAGCAGTGGTGTGCGCACGCACATCCTCCGTGAGGCTCTGACCAAGAAGCTGGCATGGCATGGATGGCATGGTATGGATGGCATGGTATGGCAAGGATGGCATAGCATGGATGACATGCAATGCCGTATGCAAGGGAAGGACAAGAGGGGCAGACAGTGAGCAGCAGGACGAGAGATAAGGAAGCACAGGAGACGAGACTATTGAGGAAAAGCAAAAGTGGTCTTCTCACATAAGGCGACATGTGGAGGGGCAAGGAAAGGGTTGACGGAATCACAGCAAGGCGAGGGAGGGGTGGTTGGAAGGGCGTGAGATGACAGTCGAATCAATGGAGCACAAACAAACGTGACAAGCCACTTCCATTCCATCATTCCTTACCGACCCCTCTTCACATCCCCAAGGCCCATCCGCTCCCATTCCACCCTTTACCACCCCCGTGTCTCATCCCACCCACACCCACACCCACACCCACACCCACACCCACACCCACACCCACACCCACACCCACACCCACACCCACACCCACACCCACACCCACACCCACACCCACAACCACACCCACACCCACACCCACACCCACACCCACACCCATACCCACACCCATACCCACACCCATACCCACACCCATACCCACACATCCCCAGCCCCCTTCCCCCATTCCCCATTCCCCTCACCCTCCCCTTCCCGATCCTTGTCCCCCATCCCCACACCCCTCTCCCTTCCCTTCCCCCTCCCCACCCCCCTCCACCTCCACCATCCCACCTTAATCTGAGCCGAGACGGCCGAGTCGAGAGCAGGGAGCACGGCGCTACGCACAGCCCCCACCACCTCCCGCGCCACCGCTCCCTCCACTGCCGGCACCACCTGCTGCGCGTTCCCACTCACCACCGCCGCCGCCACCGCCGTCACCACCTGCCCCTGCGCCGCCTTCTCGGCCTTGTCACGCTTGGCGGATTCCTTTGCTAGGTCTTCTTGGATTTTGGACTGGCATGCGTCGGCGTGGGTCTTGGTGGCGCGGTCTACGCGCTGGGAGAGGGCCGCTTCGAGGCGCTTGGTTTCTTTTAGGAGAGGCGCTGGGACGTGCTTTGCTGCCTCCCGCTGCTGCTGCAGGAGCTGGTGGGGGGAGGAGACGGGGGGGAAAATGGGGGGATTGGACGGGAGCAGGGAGAGGAGGGAGAGGAGGGAGAGGAGGGGGGAGGGGGGGAGAGGGGAGATGTGGTGAATCGGGAGGGGAGAAGGGAGAAGGAGATTGGGGAAGAAACAGGAGAGGAAGTGGAGTGAGGGAAAGCAAGAGAAAGGAAGTGAGCAACCCGTGTGTGTGACCGAGGGGATGCAGGGAAGGGCACACGGACCCGGGGGCTAGGGTGGGGGAGGAGAGGAGAGACGAAGAGGAAAGAGAAACGCGTGAGAATCACAAAGAGCGGGGACAACGAGCTTGAAACACCCACTGATTGGACAGTCGAATGCAGTGCTGCCACGTCACTCTTGAGCGCCTGGATGGATGCTGACATAGCTGCCACGTCAGCCGACCCAGCTGCCCCAACAGCTGCAGCAGGAACAACCCCTGCTGCAACAGCGCCAGCAGCAGGTGCAGGCACCACAGGTGAAGGTGCCAAAGCTGCTGTTTCTGCTGCTGGTGATGGTCCTCCTGTTGCTGCTGCTAGCATAGCGGCAGTGGTGGAAACAGGAGCAGAGTCAGTGGGAGCAGCAACCGGAGCTGGTGCTGTCACCTGAGTGTGACCGTGAGGGTGGGTCTCATCTGCTCCGCTAGCTGGCACGCTCACAGCACCACCCACGCCACCACCACCAGCAGCAGCAGCACCAGCAGCACCAGCAGCACCAGACCCAGCATTTCCTGCTACCGGTGCCGTAGCTGCGTTACCACCAGCAGCAGCGGCAGCAGCGGCGGCAGTCTTGTGCTTGTTCTTGCGATTCTTGTGGGAGCCGTGGCCAGCGGCATGGACAGGGCCATGCGCCGGGCCATGCACATGCACGCTGCTGGGAGCAGCAGCAGCAGCAGCACTTGCGGCAGTGCTTGCAAGAACAGATGCCTGCTGCACTGCTGTCGTTGCAGCAGGTGCTGTTACCACTGGTGCTGTTGCTGCTGTTACAGGTGCTGCAGTTACAGGTGCAGCAGGAGCAGGCACTTGAGCTGCTGCAGTGGGAGCAGTGGCATCAGGAGCAAGTGGAGTGGAAGCGACAGGCTCTGCTTTCGCTGGAGCTGTAGCCGCCGCCGCCGCTGCTGCTGCTTCTGCTGCTTCTGCTGCCAGTGCTGGCGCTGGCGTTTCTGGCACAGCAGTTGCAGGCGCGGGAGGTGCCTTTGCTGCAGCCACGCTGCTTGCAGCAGCAGCAGCATCACGGTACGAGATGGGACCCTTGTTGATCTCTCCCCCTCCTCCACTACCCCCCACTCCTTTCGGTGCAACCGATTCCTCCGCTCCCTTCTCCTCAGCAGCCTCAGCCTGTATCCCATCAGCAGGAGGGGGAACGCCATCAGCAGCGGGAGCACCATCAGCAGGGAGAGCACCAGGCGCCACCACTGCAGCACCTGCTTTGGCTGTTTCTGGAGCCCCGGCCAGGGGAGCAGCAGAGGGAGCAGCAGGGGCGGTGGCAGTGGCAGTGGCAGGGGGGGCAGCAGTAGCAGCAGGAGTGGGACCGCTCATGCCCATAACCATGGCGAGCAGTTCCTGGGGCGTCACCAGGTGTGGACGCCCATCTGTCCCTCCCCCTCCTCCTCCTCCACCTGCCACCGCAGCTGTTGCGTCTGCTTCTGCTTCCGCAGCTGCCCCAGGCCCTGCGTAGTTGCCCTCCGTGTTCTCACCCATGACTGTGTCTCCACCCAACAGGTCTACCGGGCCTGAAACCACTGCCTTTTCTGCTACTGTCCCTTCTCCACCTGCTGCTTCTGCTGCCGCTGATCCTGCTGCTGCCGGCGCTGCTGCTGCTGCTGCTGCTGGTTCTGCTGCTGCTGGAGGTGCCTCTGCCTGTGGTGTGTTCGTCTCTGCTGCTGTGATGGCAGGCGTTTCGTCTTCAGAGGAGGGAGGTAGGCACATGTCGACAGGGAGAGAGTACTGCTGTATGGCCTGGATCTGCATACAAAACAGCTGCACCAACTCCGACTCACCCGACCCATCACTACCATCCCAGCCACCACCCTTCCCACCCCCACCCTCACCTCCTCCTCCTCCTCCTCCACCTCCTCCTCCTCCTCCCTCACCACCACCACCACCATCCGCACCCCCTCCCCCTCCAGACTCCCCTCTCCCCCCATCCCCTGCCTGCTTCCCCTCTCCCCCTGCCCCTGCACCCCCACCTGCGCCTTCCCCCTGCGCGCCCTCCTTGGCCCCTTCTCCATTAGGAGCCGCCAAATAGGCAGTAAAGCTAAGAATAGGCATGGTGACGGAAAAGTGAGCAATGGATTGGAAGCGGGAGAGGGACGGGGAGGCCGGGTCGAAGCGGACAGAGACAGCGTAAATGGCCTTTTGGAGTGCGTCTGTGAGTAGGACCAGACCCATGGATTGCACCACCTGCAGTTGGCAAAACACCCCGCTGCTGCCGCTCACACCCACGCTGCTGCCGTCGCTGCTGGTGCCACTGCTGCTGCCGCTGGTTCTTGCAGCGGTGGGTTTGAGAGGAGGAGCGTCGGATAGAAGCTGCAGCGTGTGAATGCAGCGCCAGTTGCCCTGCTGCACACTGCTGGTAGACGCTGATATGAGCGGTGAAGCAGCAGAGGAGGCAGAGGTGGACGTGGATGCCCATAGCTTGAGCTCGCTGTTGTTAGGTCCCTGTATGGGAGGGAGGGCCAGAGGAAATCACACGGGGGATGGGGGAAAGAGACCCGAGCACACATATGTAAGAATGTAGCCACACTAATAAGGGCAAGAAAGGCATGCAGGTAAGTGTACTGTTGACTGCCAACAATCCATTGACTGCATTGACTGCATAGACTGCATAGACTGCACTGACTGCACTGACTGCACTGACTGCACTGACTGCGTTTACTGCATTGACTGCACTGACTGCATTGACTGCATTGACCATGTACCTATACCTACCCCTGTGCGCAGAGCACTCACCCTGTGAGCAGAGCAGACAAGGAACCCAGTGAGCGAAGCAGTGCACTTACCCCCGTGAGCAGGAGCGCGTGGTTTGAGGGGGCCGAGGGGGGCAGCAGGAAGAGGGCGGAGAAGACAGGGCTGGCAGCGTGCGGAGTAATGACAGACACACACTCCGTGCTCCTCCACACTCGCACCTGGTGGGGGGATAGGCGAGGGGTGGCGGAGAGGGGTGGAGGAGAGGGGTGGGTCAGGGGTGGAGGAGAGGGGTGGAGGAGAGGGGTGGAGGAGAGGGGTGGGACGGGGGGGAGGAGAGGAAGGAGGACGGAAGTGAGGAAGAGTTCGGTAGGATTAGTGTAACTTGAAAGGAAAGGAATAAGGTGAGGGCAAGAGGGGAAGAAAACCGGGGAAGAATGAGCCTGGAAACGGGGGGGGGAGGACGAGCAGGGATGGGAGGGAGGGAGGAAGAGAGAGGGAAGGGGCGGGAGAGGGACGAGGGAGCGGAGGGGGGGGGGGAAGAAGACGGAGCAATGGGAGATACAAACACCCATATCTGGTAACAACACTGCCATGCCACCCTGTGTTGCAAGAAAAACTGCTTCAATCAGCCATACACAACGCAGTGACGTCGGTACAGTCAGTCCAGTCGGCTCAAACCCCATCGATACCCTGCTGCCCTGCCCAATCAACACCATACATTCAGAAGGATTCAGAACCCTCATGGCTACTGTGCCGCCAGTGAGCTGAGCGATAGGGTGCTGACTTTTGAGTGATTACAATGAAAAAGGTTCTCTACTATACATCCTCACTCACTGTAGGTAGGTAGGTTCGGTTCGTACCGTGCCGTCTAGCGAGGTTCGGTTCGTCGTACCGTGCCGTCTAGCGAGGTTCGGTTCGTACCGTGCCGTCTAGCGACGGGGTGGGCAGTAGCGTGCACGCAGAGGGCTGCGGAAGCAGCGAGGACACAGGCGCGGAGTGGCCCTTGAGGAGAATCACCCCCTCCACTATCGCACGCGCCTCAGCTGCCCCTCCCGCTGCTCCTCCTGCTTCTGGAGCTGCTGAAGGTGGTGGTTCGTTTGTGAGGTCGATGAGAAAGGGATCCGAGAGCGAGGGCGGTTTGGTGGGCGCTGCTGCGGCTGCTGCAGCGATGGAGACAAAGAGGACGAAGCGGTCACACGCGACTATGAGGATGTCCTGTTGGGGGGAGGAGGAGGATGGGAGGGGGAAGAGGGGCGGAAGAAGAGCGGGGGGAGGGGGAAGAGGGGCGGAAGAAGAGTGGGGGGAGGGGGAAGTGTTTACTTTTGATGCGACAAAGAGGACAAAGCGGTCACACGTCGCTATGAGGATGTCCTGTTGGAAGGGAGGAGGAGGGGATAAGGGGTTGAAAGGGAAGAAAAAGGCGGGGGCGGGGAGAGGGGGGGAGGGTGGGTGGGGGAGGTGGGAGGGTTTGACTTTTGAGGCGCCTCAAAAGTCTAAGTGGTCACACGCGACTATTGGGTTTGTCCTGGCGGAGGGGGATGGGGAAGAGGGGGGGAAATGGGGAAGAAGAGGGGGAGAAGAAGAAGAGAAGGGGGAGGAGGTGTTTGATTTTAGGCGCCTCAAGAGTCGAAGTGGTCGCATCGCATGCGACCATTGAGAATGTCCTGCCGGAGAGGGTTGGGGGAGCGTTGGGAGGGAGAGAGGGGGAAGGGCGTGGTGGATGGGATGGTGGGGTGGGTACACTGTGGAGGGGGGAGAGTGGAAGGGGGGAGTGGAAGTGGGAGAGAGTGGAGAGAGGGAGAGTGGAGAGAGGAGAATGGAGAGAGGGAGAGTGGAGAGCGGGAGAGAGCAGTGAGCACAGAGATTCAAGAGTAAAACGGCAGCAGGGGAAGGGAGGGAGACCAGGATGTGGGGGGCAAGAGCGACGTGACAGAGAAGGGAACGCATCAGAAATGCGAGATCAGCGGAAATGGCGGGGGGGGGGGGAAGAGGGGGGGGGAAGGGGAGGAGTGGAGGCCTTTTGAGACGCCTCAGAAAGGGAAAGAGTGGAGGAGAAAGCGAAAACTTGAGCAGCACAGGGGACAGTGGACAGTGGAACAGAACAAGATCCCCCCTCCACCCAAGCCACCATCCCATCCCAAGCCCCAACGCCTCCCGTCCCAAAAGCCACACGCCTCCTTCCCTCCCCACAAACTCCCTCCTCCCTCCCTTCCACACGCCATCTTCCCACCGCACGTACCTTCTGCCGGGGGTGCCAGGCTAGCTGCGGCGCAGCAGTGTCCCCCCACGCGCCCTTGAGCTGCAGCACTGCCAGAACACGCTCGCCAATAGCCGCCTTGCCGTCGCTGCCCGGCCCCTCCTCCACCCGCCGCACCACCACCAGCCCGTCCGCACTCGCACTGATGATGCCCCGCGCACAGGGGGGATAGGGGAACGGAAGGAGGGGAGCGGAGGGGAGAGGTGAGAAAGTAGGGGAGAAGAGGGGAGAGGAGGGGATGGAGGGGAAGAGAGGATGGGAGAGGAGCGGAAGAGAGTAGAGGAGAGGAGGCGAGAGTGAGAAGAACAATTTATCAGGGTTTTCCACCTGCAGCACGGCCACGCGCAAAATTCAGAGCATGTAAGCGTGTTTCACCCCCAACGAGCGTGTTCCACCAGAGATTCTTAAAGATCCTTGATCATCCCCAAAGGTCCCCAAAGGTCCCCAAAGATCCCTAGAGATCCCCGGAAACGTCTGGAGATCCTCCCAACGAACGTACTAGTAACGTACTAGTAACGTACTAGTAACGTACTAGTAACGTACTAGTAACGTACTAGTAACGTACTAGTAACGTACTAGTAAGGTACAGGTAGCAGCAGTAAGGCGTGCCCGGCGTGCCCCACTGGCCAGCAGCTGCTCGTCCTCTCTGCAGAGAACATCATGTCCGTGTTGCGCTGCTGCACGCAGGGCGACTAGACCATTGAAGCGACTCAAAAGTTTGAGTCGACTTAACCGTCACTGACCTGGCCAGCAGCTGCTCGTCCTCTCTGCAGAAAACACCATGGCTGTAACGCGCTGCTGCACGCAGGGCGGGTTGACTACTGAATCGACTCAAAAGCCACCCACCTGGCTTTTGAGGCGCCTCAAGAGTAGAGTCGACTGAGAAGTGACTCACCTAGCCAGCAGCTGCTCGTCCTCTCTGCAGAGAACACCATGTCCGTGTTGCGCTGCACGCAGGGCGACTAGACCATTGAGGCGCCTCAAGAGTAGAGTCGACTCAGAAGTGATGTGACTCACCTGGCCAAGAGCTGCTCGTCCTCTGCAAAGAACACCATGTCCGTGATGCGCTGCACTCAGGGCGAGACGGGACGCATGGGGGGAGAAGGGGGGCAGAGAGGATGAGGGGGGAGGGGAAGGGGGAAGGGAGAGGGAGGAAGGAGGGTGGATAGGGGATGAGGGAGACCGAGGCAGCGAAAGGGCGGGGAAGGGGGGCGGGAGGGAGGGGCAGGGTACGGAAGAGAAAGGGGGCGGCAGGGATACGGTTACAAGGACACAACCAGAAGAAATGAGAAAAGCAAATCAACGTGTGCAGGACAGAAAACGGCGAAGGGAACAACAATAGAAACATGTTCCCTTTTCCCAGATTGCTCTTACCCTTTCTCTCCCCCTCCCACCTCCCCATCCACCTCTCCTGCCCGCATCCCACAACAACCCCCGTCCCCCCACACACCCCACACGCCGCACCTTCTTGTGCCCCTTAAAGAGCGCGCGTAAAGCCGTGTTAATATTGAGAACACGGATGCTCGCGTTCCGGAGCGCGTAGCTGATATACCGCCTGTTCACTGCAATCTGCCTGCCCGGCGCTAGCACCTCCTCTGACCCGTAAACCGTTATAGGCGACACCTCCAGCTGCGGCGGACCTGCTTCTAACGGATCACGCTTATCCACCCTGTAGGTAACCACCTCCGCGTTTCCAGGTAAGATCTTCCCCACTCCGCGCTTGGATCTGCGCAGCTGGAGCGGAAGGGCGCTGCGGGACGGCTCAGAATGTTCCGCGGCCGCAGGGAGCGGGGGAGCGGAAGGGGGAGTCGCGGAAGCATGCGCGGAAGCGGCAGCTTGGGGGGTGGCGGAAGGGGGAGGGGGAGCGGATGGGGCAGCGGGCTCCCTGGGGGGAGTTTGAGGGGCGGTTGCTCCTGTTGCGCCGAAAAGAGCGCCGAGCACAGGTGGAAGGGAGGATGGGGGTGGCGCGGAGGGGGCAGAGGGGAGAGGAGGAGGCGCAGCGGCTTCCGGAGGAGCAGGCGCACTGGAAGAAGAACCGGGCGCTTCTACTGGGGCGGAGGCGTTCTCCGCGGCCGCTGGCGCAGCGGGGGAGGCGGAAGAGGGAGGCGGATGGGCCTGCGCGGGCGGCGGCGGAGGCTGCGCACCCGGAGGCGGGGGAGATGCACTCGCGGTGAGCAACGACATGAGATGCGCGCCGTGGAACGCGGGGGCGGGAGCAGCGCTAGGGGGCAAGGGAGCCGGCGCAACCGGCGGAGGAGGCGCGGGCATGTGCATGGGCGGGGACGAGGGCGGGTACTGGTATTGCGGCGCATGCATGTGCAGCATATGCGGGGGGACTCCGGACGGGCCAGGGCCCACATGCATCACGGGATGGCCGTGCTGATTCAGCATGCCGGGAAGAGGAGGCGGCGGAGGAGACGGCCCTGATGTGGGACCGTGCATGCCTTGTAACGGGTATGGCATGGGTGCGCCGGGGTGCATTGGATGAGGCAGGGAGTGGGGATGCACATGGGATGGGGGGGGACCCATCCACTGACCGTACCCGGGGGGAGGGGGGGAGGAGGGTATGCCGGGAGGGGGAGGCATGGGGGGAGGGGGACTGGGAGTATGGCCGCCTTGGTTGGAGGCAGCGGCAGATTGTTGCAGTAGCGTCAATATCGGATTCGACGGGTGCTGCGGCGACTGTTGCGCCTGTGGCTGCGGCGGCTGCTGCTGCTGCTGCTGATACTGCTGCTGATGATACTGCTGCTGCTGCTGCTGATGATACTGCTGCTGCTGCTGCTGCTGATACTGTTGATGCTGCTGCAGCTGCTGCAGCAGCTGCTGCTGCTCCTGCTGTTGCTGTTGATGCTGCTGCTGCTGATGATGATGTGGAAGGGGCGGCTGTCCTAACGCTCCATCCTGTTGCGGGGGCGGCTGTTGCTCATGCCCCTGCGGCACTTGTCCCTGCGGCTGTCCCTGTTGCTGTCCTTGTCCCTGTGCACCTGCGCTCTCATCTTGCTGCTGCTGCTCAGCCTGCTGCTGCTGCTGCGCTTTTGCAGAAGCCGATTGAAACAGCTGCTGAAGGTTCAACATCGCGGCAAATCAGGAACCGCTTTCCTGGAATAGCACGGCACGGCACGCCACGCCACGACACACAGAACCAGACGTCGGAGGGGAGAGAATGCGCAATGAGTTACAGAAATGCAGAAGGACCATCTATATGCCGAGTTCTGGATTAATTGCCGTTCCTCTCTAAAAAAATAATCGGAACTTTCAATCCTGCACGGCCGACCTAGAGTGAGCGTTACACGTTCCGAAAATAAACCGTGGAGACTGAACGGGTGACTAAACAACATGAATCAATCCTCCTTGTTCATTTCCCAACTGCTAACGTTGGATCGATAGTCGTGAATATGATCAACGCGAAGAAGCGATCGACCAACACGTACTATATAACGAGCTAAATTCACCACATATTAAATCCGACAACAACGGACGTGATAAAAAAAACAAATCGAAGACGAGACAACATTAGACGAAACGCATCATACCTCTCTCGTTTAATTAAAAAATACGAGGAGGAGGCGGATCACCGGCAGGCTTCAGCGGCACTATCACAAGACACGGAAAGGTTAGTCACTCAGCGAAGCTCAGACCAGATTGATGCGTCCAGATATGCGACGACCTGGCGGATTATAATCTGGCTGGAGCTGGAAGAAATGCTTCGTCTGTGGTGAGAAATCGCATTTCTGTTTTGCCTGAGTAGGGTTGTGTAGGGTGACTGCAAGGCAGTTAGACACAGCAAGACGAGAGTTGAGATTGGAAATCAGTGGTGGAGAACGTGGTTACGTTGCATGGAAGGAGTTCGTAAATGTTCGCTTTCCATCTGTATCCGAATGGTGGCCAATGGCCATGCAAGCAACCTCGTGTTAGCCAATGGCAAAAATAGCTATTAGTGTTATCAGGTAATTATCCATCTGGCTGCCAGGTAAGCGTCACAGGAGGAAAACAAAAATAGCACGGCCTATTTACTGTCCCGTCATTTTGTCTTGGAGTCAACTCTGATTACCTTGCCTACATACAACCACAGAACCCTCCATCCACTCTCAAATTCATCACCAGGACAAAATGCAGCACCATGGCCACAGTATAAACTTGCAGTCACTATACCCTACAGTGCCAGCTGTCCCAAAATCCTCAGATCCACAGCCCTCCCTCTGGCAACTGTGCACTCATTATCAGCAGCAGCGTCCTAAAAGTAGCACCTTCCTCCCTGCCCTACCTAACTCTCTCCCTCTTGCCCTCTCATGTCAAAATTCAGCGCTGCCTCCTCCCATTACTCATGGCTGCTCACAAGTGCCCTGAATACCTATTCGCACTTGATGGCACGGTAAATGTGCCGCACAAAGAGCAGCGCAGCACGGAAACCCACTGCTCCAAGCATGAGGAAGAAGCCGTAGCAGACGCAGGCCATGTAGCCAAAGAAGAAAGAGGTCTGCATGAAGCCGGTCATGTCCGAGCGTGCAAAGTAGTAGTAGAAGCAGTACGCGTAGATGAAGAAGGCTGTCGAGCCACCGCACAGCACCGATCTGCCAGCATCGGCATACAGCACAAGGATGGGGAGATCACAATATGAAAATCAGACCGATAGATGTCCAAGGTGAAGATGCTGGATAGGCAGGAAGATGTTCTGGACAACACGCAGGTGATGAGAGGCAAGTGAATCACAAATGCCAGCAGCAATGAGGAGGGCGGCAGCGCAAGTGAGGAGCAGAAGACAGATCGTGGAAGCACGGAGAAACGGCGGCAATCAGGGATGAGTTACCTCCACCACCACTCATGATCTTCAATAGCCAGCTGGAAGTAGGTGAGTGCAATCGTGATGAAGGCGGTCACAATGATGAGGATGAGGAAGACAATGAAGAGGATGCTGTGGATGGTGTAGATCTTATGGCCCCAGAGCGTGGCAAAGATGTAGTAGAGCTCAATGTAGATGGCGCTGAAGGGCAGGAAGCCAGCCATGCACATCTGCACTCCACCAGCCAGGAATTAAAGGGTCGGGACAAGGACAGGCATGGGCGAATGCGAACATGCAGGAAGATGGTGATGATGAGCGAAAGGATGTGCGATGGACAATGTGAAAAGTGTGCTGGTTTTGACGAAATGAACAGAGAGTGAGTGGTGTTAACGGGAAAATGGTGGTGATGGGGGAAGCAGAAAGTGGGGTGGGAGGGGGGGAGCGGGGGATGGGTGGTGGCAGGAGCGGCAAGTACGACACGGATGGGGCCCAGCGACCAAGCACCATCAACTTCTCGAGAGCGTCACTGCATCCAGATTCTCTGCCACATACAGCCCTTCCTAGCCACCGCCCACACTTCCTCCCTGACTCATTCCCTCCCACCCTAAGTTCACCCTTTCTTTCTCCTACTCTCAAAACCTTCATCTGTACACTTTATCTTGTGACAACCAGTTCGTGGATTCAGCCTCTTCCACCACCCCAGCTCCACCCTCGTCTTGTTGGGACCAACTGACCTGGGGAACAGCCGTCCTGTACCAGGGCAGGGGTGGAATCTCGCGAGGGTACTTGCTGGTCCGGCACGGCGCCTCAAACTCGCCTGCATTTTTCTTCCCCCAGATAGCACCCAGCACCTAAGAGAGGGGGGCCGGGGAGGGGGCGTAATGTGAGAGTGTGAGGGTGTGTGTGCGAGTTCAAAGGAGGAAAGTGGAGAGGCGAGTTGGGTACAGACGAGGGGGCGGAAATGCAACAGAACTGGGGACTAAGTGGGGAAGGCGGCGAATAAGCAAGCACTGCACCAGGCTAGACCGGAAAGAGCGGACGGGGAATGGGAGGGGAACAGGGAATGGGGTTGGGGGCAGACGAGAAAGTAAAAGTGGAGACAAAGACTGACAATAGAGTGAGGAAGGTGGGCAATGAGAGAGAGCGCACCGTGAGGGGGAAGGTGACAAGCGTCCAAATGACAATGATGATGACAATGGTGCCGAAAGGCAAAGCTTGGGAGGATCCGTAAGCGATGGCAACCGAGTTGTTGAAGGAGAAGACGAGCAGGAAGGGCCCGCAGTAGAGAAGCGCCGTCAGGACCACATTGCGCACCTGAACGGACACCAACCGGGGAGGAAAGAGACGCGATGAAAGCGAGTGAGGCGCAAATAGGGAAACCGAAGTGGCAGAGAGGCGCAGAGAGCATGGGATAACAGGCAGCACAGGAGAAAACGTGAGATGCCCCCTGCGTTTGAGGCAGAGCACTCACCCAGTTCTCTCCGCCCATCTGGCGATAGAAGGACGAGGAGACGTAGCCTGCGATGCCTGCAGTGAGAGCATACAGGACAATGCACGCCTGGTACGGAGCACCGCGGTTGTACGGGTAAAAGACTCCAATGAGCGCCAGCGCGAAGACAAAGAGCACAAGCACCAGCAACTGCGAGCCCACGCCAACAAGGGCGCAGAAGACACTGTGGCAGGGAAGGGTGTAAATCGAGGGAGGGGGAGCGAAGCGTTTGTGGGCAAAGCGGGGCGGCAGTTGATAAAGGTAACAGTGACCAGGGGAGATATGAGGAGAATTCCGCATCTTGAAAGTTGAAAGATAGACTCACAACAGCAAATTTACAAGCAAAAAAAAAAAAAAAAATGCAGGAAGGAAAAATGACACGTACGAAGGGAATGGAGGGAAGCGGAATACATCTCCGTGAATGTACTTCCACCCAGTCTCCTCCTGCTCCTCTGCAGCCTCGTCATCACGCGTATACCTTCAAACGCACACACGCAAACATGGTAGAACAACCACAATAATAAATACGTATGAACCAGGGAGATGAGGTGCACACGTTTTGTACGTCCAGAAAATGAATGTCTACCCTTCAGTTTCACTATATCATATTCAGACACGAAACCTTGATAGTTCCCTCACACCTGATTTTCCCCACCCTTCCTCCCTTGCATCCTGCCTCCCTTCCCTCCCACCTCCCCTGAACCGCATCCATTACTCAATCTTCCTGGCGCACTCACTTGATGAAGTCGTTCTTGAGCACGCGCATGAGGATGGTGGCGAGGAAGCCGGTGAGCAGCAGCACGGTGACGCACGAGTTGATGATGGAGAACCAGTGGATTTCCAGGTGCTGCGGCATGAACGAGTACCGCGAATACTTCTCCATCCGCTTCTCAAACGGAATGTTCGTCTCCTCCCACCGCACGCTGAAGCTGAATTCAACCTTCACCTCCGCATCCGCGGTGATATCCACCGTCTGCGACGGATCCGTGCTCACGATGATCGCGATGATCCTATCCCCGTTATAAGAAACGACGAAATGCACGTGCGTGAACAGGAGGTACCGGATATCCTGGCCGTGGGACTCCATGCCGCCATCGCCGCCAGTGGCGGAATTTGTCTTTCCAATGAATCCCCACACAGGAAGGTCGTCGTAGAACATCTGCGCAGAGAGGGACATCCGGACGCCAAGAGATTCGATGACGCACATGAAATCGTTGTTAGCAACAGCACGATCGAAGCTGCAACGACGCATACTCGCAAATTAGGGTAGGAGACTGAAAAGGAACCTTGCTACCGTCACAACTCTCGCATTAACGAACAAATGGACAAAACTAGGATTCGAACATGCATGATTCTTGCTTCAGGAATTGCTAGATACTTGATGGCACAGGACTCTAAATACACATTCCGACCACACGAAAAAACCATCAAACGGTTGAGAAAGAACCTCACCTGGAAGTAGTAATCGTCCTTGACTGCCTGGCGAAACTTCTGAACCTCCTCCACGGACAGCGTCTTTGTGCATAGAGACTCGCTCTCTTTGTTCACGCGGAAGCTCAAGTCGTAAAGCGTCGTCACCAGCCGGTCTCCTTCAATCACCTCGCCAAGGTCCTCCAGCTTGTAGCTCTCCGCCTTGCGACAAAACGGCAGATCATAGTACTGGTAGGTCTCGCTGCGGATTTACATCGGATAGGAGGGAAATGAGAAACAACATTCAACAGGAACAGCAATCAGACTCAGAATTTACTTCACTGATGCCCAAAAAAAGGCGTAAGCAAAAATACCAGAAGAAAGAAACTTCCATCAAAATGCCTCGGATAGCGGAGAACCCAGTCTCTAGATGGAACTTCCATCAAGATGCCAAAAGACAGAAAATCTTGCAACCCAGGAAAATTCACGAAAGGGCTTACGAATAAACCGACGTTAAAACGAGTCTGAGGAAACCTGATTGTTACCTGGGGTTGTGATAAGGTCCGACTTTGTTCGCGTAAAGTGGAACAGGATCATGCTCCTTGTAGGTATGATCCCGAGCGCTTAAAAGCTGACGGTGTCCCCCTTGTACCACCGCATGAGCAGAAGCTGCAATGACGAAGGCAGCTAAGAGCAGCACAGGTAGCCGCAACTGTAAGGATATCATCTTGAACCGCTGAGCGGAACCTAGACAAATATTCTTTGCGGATCCACGACCGTGGATCCCGTTCTCTTCTCAACACGAAATGTAGAGAGGAACCACGAACAGCCACAAGACCTAACCTGGCCCACGGAGAACCAACCACTCCAACCTTCTACTATCTTTGATACCTGAGCTGAGCTAAGGTGTAGCAGCAGTGAGTGGTTGGATCCGTTTCAGAATTTGTGGGTGGTGGTACAGATCACGAAGATCTGGGGGGTGACTCTGTGCGCGGGAATGTCGAGGTGAGGGGGGCCGTGGGCGGAATGGAGTGACAGAGGCCAGGCCAGTCAGGTTTGCTGGGGGAAGTGCCTGTCACAACCCACAAGGCTCGTCTCTGCCCCTCCACCTCCGCTCTGCCTGCATTCCATCCGCGCTGAGCGGTTTCTTGCTCCCCCCCTATCAGTTGGAAAAGAATCACCGTTCTTTTACGCGAACAATCTCACTCGACCGTGTTGGAAACCTTCTAGTTAGGGCTACGAAAGGAGCAGGTGCTGGTTCGGGCTTCGGTGTTTGTAACCACGAGGTCAATTATTCTGGGCAGAAAAATACTGTTTTTTGGTATCTGGCTGGAGAAGATTTCCCTTGTGAGTTGTGACAGGGTGGGCCATACATTTTCGTAAAGGTTCGTTTTACGCGGTTTAATACGGTCAACCATGTTGGAGAGCGGTTTTTACTTTCAACGCTCTAGACCATTGCCCACCAGAAAGAACATTTTGTAATAAATTGTGAACAAACGAAAATGACCCACCCTCAAATCGGGACTTCCGAGGCTCGAGTCGGGACTCGGATTCAACACGTCAACTTTGAGTTCACTCACCCGCTCCTTGGCAGCACAACTTTGAGCAAGGGTTGGACGAAGAAGGTTCGGGCTAGGTTACCCATCGCAAAAGTCCCTAGGGTTTCTCTTTTTGAAAGCTTTCAGAACGTCTCGACTAGGCTTTTGGAAGGCTGTTGAATGAGCTGAAGTTGGAGGAGCCATGGGGAAATCAAAAAGCGCCTTCAAGAAGGAGCATCCCCTTGGTAGCGTTTGCATTGCCATTTTTGTTACACGCGCTTAGCACCGTGAGCACCTTGCTTTCTTTACACGGTTGTCACTCTCATAATCGTTCATTCGTCATGTTGGGTGCGTGCCGATTGGTTTTCAGAGAAGAGAAAGGCTGAAGCCTCAAGGATTCGCGAAAAGTATCCTGACAGGATTCCTGTAAGTTACTGCATGGGGCTGACTCCAGTAACTTTTCGTTTGGTAGTGATCTCATATCCGCTTCTTACATCTCCAGGTCATTGTGGAGAAGGCTCCACGGAGTGACATACCAGAGATCGACAAGAAAAAGTACGGTTGAGTTGTTTCTGCGGTGTTCATTCAAGGCTGATTCATGGTTGTTAAGATCACTTCGTTGTTCTGCACCAGGTACCTCGTCCCAGCAGAGCTTGCCGTTGGCCAGTTCGTCTTCATTATTCGAAAGAGGATAAAGCTTCATCCAGAGAAGGCAATCTTTGTTTTCGTAAACTCTGTGCTACCGCCTACTGGTAAGCAGTTTAATCTTATCGAACACACTGCTGCTGTGTGCCGTGACTCACAATGTCTTTGCGTATGCCTGCAGCCTCGCTGATGTCAGCTATTTACGAAGAGCACAAAGACCCTGATGGGTTCCTGTATATGACGTATAGTGGAGAGACTACTTTTGGGCGAGTTGGGCTATGAGGTTGACTCGTGACTTGTTTTCATGTAGCATATTGTACAGCTGCTCCTTTTTTGTGCATCATTCTCTGAAGACAACTTGAAGGTCTAATCTATAGGCAAGGCACCCACCCTCGCATAGGTTCCTGAGCATTTCATGTGTATATTTGAGGTCGTTTGGACAAGTGTCTTGCCTACCCTATCACTGGAATCTGCCGCCGTTGGTGCCCTGCTGTCTTTTGGTCTGTTACAAAAGACCACATACGGTACCGTATCGGCGGTATGCCAAGTGCAATCGCGGCAGTGACATGCTGAAATTTAAATGTTCCTGAGCCATGCCTCCCAAGTTATCATTGTAGATACCGGTCCGGTTACCGGTACTGTATGATTGTGAGAATAGGATGCTGTAGTGCTGCCCTGTAATAAATTGTTACTCTTGGCCATGAGGGCTCGACTCGAGGACAAGGTTGTACGGTAGGACTTGCTACAGAGATGCTTGTGTGGTACTCGAGTTTGCATTCCTCATTTCCTTGTTCAGTTGCACTGCACTCACTCATAACATCAGCACACTAGGCATGTTGGCATTCAAATCCATTACTACAGCAACCATTCAGAAAGCAACACGCATTAGCAACAAACAACCAAGGCAGCAACGCAGCACAGTGGTGTTTGCAGAATCAAGCCTTGCACAAACAAGCAGCTGACAGCTGCCTTTTAAGATGGTATTGCCAAGTGAGGAGCTTGGCACCTAATGACCCCGCCTAACCCGTAGCTACCATACCTTACCGCCGGTAACCATTGTTCAAACCTACTGATATTCCTGCTGACAAAATCTGACTGCTGACAGTCCAGTAGCCATCAGGTCACATGCCCTTTGACGATAAAGAGCAAAGTGAAGCCATCTGATTCACACGGGGATACGCCATCAAGCTGAACCCAGAAGTGCGGAACTGGTCTGTCGGGACTGGCCTCGTCTTGCTGTCAAATTTCCCGTACACGTTACGAATCACCGGAGAGATCTGCACGCTCTTGGATGCGGGTGTAACGCGCACGTTGGAGAGGTGGATGTCGCGGCACGGCACGGAGTAGCTGCAGTTGAGCAGCAGCCCTCGCTTGAATGTCGTGGTGGCTTCTATGTTGCTGAAGCTCACCCCCTGCACGGCAACGTTGTCCGTCTGCTTCTCGCACACCACTCCAGGAGTCGAGCGGTCGCAGTAGTTCTGGTGGGGTGGAGGGAGATGGATGTGAAGAAAGGGAGAGGTGAGAAGGGAGCCGTTGATTGACGAGAAGCAGGGATATCTCTGGCAAGGCAGAAAAGAAAAAGAGGGTTGCAGCTATGATAAGCATTGAGGCAGGTGAGGAAATTGAGAAAAGGGGAAGAGGTGTAGTACAAAGCAGTAAATGTTGCAGCTGCCAATAGTTTCAGGTTATGTGTGCAGGCATGCGCCAGCACAGCTCACACATGCATGCATGATCACATGTATAACCCGATCCTTGTGAAAATGCTGTTCTCACCTGATCAATCACTATCGGAAGCTTGATGTTCTTCATAAGCACGTTCTTGAACTGAATGTTCTTCACCAGACCACGGCCCCCCTGGTATGTCTTGATGCGGAGTCCGTTGTCGGTGTCCGTTAGAACCACGTTGCGTACAGTCACATCGGAAACACACGCCACTGTGCCATGTGCTCCAAGGCTGCCGATGCTGCAGATTGCGCAGAGAGGGAAGGGAAAGGGAGGGAAGACAGGCAGTGGAGGAGGGGTGGAGGGGGTGGGTTGGGGTGGGGAAGGTTGGCGAGGAGGAGGAGAGATACTCCTCTCCTGGGCTGGCAATACGCTGCCTTGTGTCGTGAATCATGATATACTTAGTATACACGCACAAGCAACGTCAATATGTTGACTCAAAGACGCCATACCGCACCATATGACACGCCATCGCACGTCAGTTCACACATAGAGCTCATCCCATCGCAAACCTACTAGAATCCACACCCTCGATTGCCTTCCAAACCTGGCGGCGGTTGCGATTCCATCCAATACCTGATCTCTTGCCATGCCTAGATTGCCGAATCTACTGCTGCATCTGCGCCCGTGCCGTACCTGATTCCGTGGCCAGCCGTGCCCCATATGTTGGCGATGGTGACTCTATGCGCCCCTTCTTCTATCGAGATGTTGTCGTCACCTGGTAGAGAGAAAGGGGAAAGGAGGAAAAGGGGGAACGGGAGGCGGGGCATGGGAAGGACCGAGAAATAGGGGAGGTGAGGAAGGGAGAAAGGAGAGAGGGGAGGGGGAGAATGAGAGCAGGTAATTAAGAGTGCTGGCGTAAGACAGATCGTTCCCACGTGATCCCAGCCTGACACCCACATCCACTGTGGGCCTTTCCCCAAAACTGCCTGCTTGTAATCACCACCCTCTCATGGATTGCACGGCACAGAGCTTGCCGAGCCAGACAGACAATCCACCACAGCCCTTCCCTGTTAAACGCAGATAGTACACTCTTTTTCACCTTAGAGCCCTTCCGTGACTTGCAAATCGACTCCATAGCCTGCTGGTTGGAGTGGTTCGCCGAACCACGCAAACTCAAATGCCAAAGCACGTACTCGTGTGAATATCGAGTCGACTCAACAGCCCGCTAGAGCACACACCTGTGTGAACTGCAAGTCGACACACAACAACCCGCCAAGGCACACACACCGATGCGGATGCAAAGTCGAATCTATAGCCTCCTGCTGTGTTGCAGTGGTTTGTCAAACCACCCAAGCTTACTAGATGCTAAAGCACGCACCCGTGTGAATGTTGCTGAACTCCACAACCACATCAGTGGACGAGCCAATGTGAATGCCGTCCGTGTTGGGGCTGTCAGCAGGCGACTCCACCGTCACATTCGACACGCGCACGAACCCACTGCGAAAGATGTTCAGGTGCATGCCCGCAGGGTTCCTGCGCGGATGCGCACGGCGGGAGAGAGGTAGAGAAGGAGAGCGGGAGAGAGAGAGGGGAGGGATGGGTTTTGAGTCGACTCATAAGCTGCCAGCGGGCGAATGCTAGACACATTCGACACGCGCATGTTGTCGCTGCGGAAGAGGTTCGGGTGCATGCCCGCGAGGTTCCTGCGCGAATGCGGCCGGAGCTAGAGCGGGAGAGCGGGAGAGCGGGAGCGCGGGAGAGCGGGAGCGCGGGGAAGCGGGAGCGAGGGAGCGAGTGAGTACGGTGGTGGAGGCGGGTGCTGCTGCGGCAAGAGACGAGAGCTTCAGCTGAGGAATGGAACAACTCTTGAAAGGGACGCACCGCTGCTGCATAATCAACGGCACAAACACTCCCCCGCGGCGGCGGGGCGGCGTACCTGTTTTTGAACCCCGCGAGAGTCACGCTGTAGCTGGCGAAAATGTCCAGCAGCACGGGCCGCTTCAGCTCCCTCGGGAGCTGATTCCCGTGATACATGGGCCACCAGCGCCGGTCGCCTCGCCCGTCCATCTCCCCGTCGCCCACTATCCACAGCCCGTGCGCCTGCCTCGCTTGCAGCACCGCGCCGCTGAAATCGCCCGGCCAGGACTTTGAGGAGGGCGGGTTCTCGGGCGCCACGATTTTCCCGTCCAGTTTGATCGTCACTCCCGGGCCGCATGGGCCTTGCATGGTGACGTAGTTAAGGAGGAAGGTTTTCCCGCGGGGGATTCGGAGTACGGTGCGCTTGTTCGCCTTCTTCGCCGCGCCGCACGCGGCGTTGAACGCGGCGAGAAACGCGGCGGAGTCGTCGGATTTGCCGTCGCCCCTGGCGCCGCGATCCATGGGAGAGTACACGTCAGCGCACGACGCGGGCTGGAAATAGCAGTAAGCCATGGCGGATGGCTCGTCCTTGCCGCTCGCGCGAGCGCGGTCCATGCACTCCGGAGGGAGAAGCGGCGCGGCGACCTCGCCTCCGCCCTTAACGCGCTTCGCGGCGGCCGCCGAGTCAAGAGGCACGGAGCCGCCGTACCAGAGACAGGCCTGGCTGGAACGGCAACCGGCTAGAGGAGCGAGGTGGATAGGCGTTGCGTTTGTGTGGGGAGAAGATGAACGTGGGGGGGACGGGGGGAAGAACGGGGAAAGAATGGGGTTGGGAAACGAGAAAAAGGGTAGGGGGAGTGGGTGGAGGGAAACAGAAAGACAGTGATAAATGAAGAGGGAAGTTGGAGGCACTCTTTTTGTAGTCACTAGCGACTAGTACTAGCAAGTGGCTGGGTGCGTTGCGAGGAGCTGATTGCGGGGTTGCGGCGATTGGGAAAAAGGGAGCACGACTCGCATCACCGCGCGGCATGTACACATGCACTGACTAGAAGCGTTGACCAGCACCGACTCGAAGACGTACCGGGCCCCTTGATTATCTTGCATCGGTCGTCCAGCGTGTAGCGACAGTCGCCTGTCACCGTCGTTGCACCGCGACTCGGGGCCCACGCATCGGTGCGCTTCAAGACCTTACTGCGACGGGACACACGAGGGAGGGGAGAGACGCGGAGGAAGGGGAGGAAAGGTAAACACAGGAGGGGAGGGCGGAGGGAATGTGATGCGATAAATAAGTGGATTCGGCAAGAGGATGAGCAAAATGAAAAGGAAATGATATTGCTACGTAAGCCGGGACGGTGATACGTGACTTCGCGAAAACGAAAACATGCCGGGGCCGGGAGATGACGAAATAGATTGGGAAAAGTCACATGCGGATGGTGCGAGCAATACACCGCGCGGAGAGCGCGCGAGGAGGTGCTTACGCGGTACTGAATCGCTCGACTCGGATGAATTTCTTTGCTCGCGAGTTGAACTGACACGCCGCATGTGTCTTGGGAATGGCGCCTGCCATTTGAGAGAGTTGATTGGGCATAATGCGCAAGGAGATAAGGCATAGTGTTTTGAGTTGGAGGTGTCTCAAACTGGTCAGACGTGAAGTGGCGTTTCGAAGGGTTGAAGGGGAGCGAAAGAGGGATGATCTTACACTCGCTCCCAGTTTGCGACTTCGGTGAATTTGACGAATGAGTGTTGAAACTGCCAGTGACGAGCCACGTTGCAACGTGGGAAACGAGGGTCCGGAGAGTGTTACTAACCGTGAGCAATGTGGGCAAAGGTCTCGAGAATGAGGAAGATGAAGAGAACAGCAGGAGACGTTGCAGAGAGATGGCGGTGCTGGCGGCGATTCTGGCCCTGGTGTCGCTGCTGGTGCTGCCGTCGCCCAAACACGCTCGTCTGCAGCATCTCCTCAGGCAAGACTGGCTGCCTCGCGTGGCGTAGCATTTCCATATGTGTGCGACACGATGGATAGCTGCTGCTGCTTGCTTTGTCGATTCCGCAGCGAAAATGATTCGTTGCAATATTTAGAAGAGGTGGGCAGTCGTGAGGGAACAAAAATGTGGAGAGTGAGAAGGTGGACACTGGCCGCAGAACAAACGAGAACAGGTGTATAGAAGTTGCAGCGAAGAGAGATGAGACGTTGATGAGAGGTTACGATCCTTCGAAGGCTGTGACTGCGCTGCGGCGTGATGTGCGGCAAACTGAGGGAATGCTCGCACTTGTGCATCAGCTAGCAATATTTGGTTCGAGGCAATCTTGATTCCAGTCTTTTGTAACTAGTTCTAAAATGCCTGCTCGATTCCAGTCCTCTAGTAGTTATGTTGCAGTATTTAGTCTGAATCTTGTTGGTCGCGTATGTGGTACCTTCCCAGATGCCACCTGGCGAAACGCGCTCATGGTTTTCCAAGGTATATCTAGGCGCAAATTCTGGTAGATATACTATTTTGGTTAGACAAGTACGTTTCCCGGAAAAAGTACTTGACCATCCTAATGGCGGTATGTTTGGCCCTCGCATCTCCAATGCTCTGTGCTAAATGTCGGCCAAATCGCGATGACCAATTTTTGAGATTCTGTCTTCTCCGAGGCGCTAACCTACGAGCGAACCTCCCGCGGCGACCCATTTGAACCAAGTTTCGATGTTGATCAAGCGCGAGCCGTGTTGCTTGTTGGTTTTGTGTCCGTTTCATTTCGGACGTCGACGGAAGTCTAAAGATGACGAACCGTCGGATCTCAGACCCCTTGGACATCGGACGGCTAAAATCCTCCAACATCGTTCGCCTTCCGTCGACAATTTGATCCAGACACCATTCCCAGGCTTCATCCAGCTTCTCACAGGTACTGTGCGACGGGTGTGACAGAATCTGTTGCTGCGACCCGCGCAGAGCGAATCGCCAAGTATGAAAAAAATGTCCCGCTCCTCGGCGACCACTCGACGACTCTCGCCGTGCGCGTGTGCGAACGTCACTTGTCCTCTCGCGGGTTGCGTGGAAGAAACAGCCAAACGAATGACGAGCATACCTCGATTCTTCATTTGCCCAATAAGTCAAACAACCGTAATATATACATTGAAGGCTTGATAGGGTAATTTTGCACTAATGGGGAAACGTCCACTTGAATTAATGTAAAGGTTAAACACACACACACACACACGCGCACACACACACACACACACACACACACACACACCCACACACACACACACACACACACGCGCGCGCGCGCACTCACGCACGCTCGCTCGCATGTGCGCACACACACAATATATCGAAAAAGAATACAATGAGGCATGCAAATCGATATCGCAAGAATGGCATTACAACACCTAGCAAGCATCCTGAAGGACGAACTGCCAGCGCAGCAGAAGAGCGGCATGTTAACGCTGCAGCAGGCAACCTGCCAGCGTTGCACCGAGGCGGTCTGCCAACACTGCGGCCGCATGTGAACATGTGCTGCCAGGTAGAACACATGTCGACGGTTTTGTCAGCCGTGCACGTGATGCTGTTCCGCAGGTCAGCTTCGCCAAAACCTTCTGGGGCGGAACTCGCACACCTGCCGAGTTTCGCCGTCGGGCAGATTCTGTCGACCACCTCGACGCTGCACTGTCGAACAGCGTTCGCCGGCACGAGCTCGTCGAACAGAGCTCGTCGACCAGCACTGCTCGACGGCCTTGTTGACCAGTGCCTCTCGACGAACTCGTCGACGACCACTGTCCTCGACCAGCGACTCCCGCCGAGGACGTTGACTAGGTCCCGTCGAGCAAGGTCTGCTCAACTACTACTTCTGTCGAACAGCAGAAGCCCACCCAACGACCACTTAGTCGAGTCCTCCTCGTCGACAGCAAGACCGGCTGCGCCAAAGCGAGGGCAGGGCCTTTCTCTTATACAATCTTCTACCCAGCTAACACTTGAGCACCCACACATGTTGGAGTAAGCAGGGAATTGACTTAAGCATTCCCGAAGGTGCAGCAGTATCGCACCCGCTACTACCGAAGCAACAGCAGCAGCAGTATCGCGTTAGCCCATATAGGGCATGCAGGTCAACAGTCGCAAGTCAACCGTCGCGACTGTTGACCAACTTGGACCGAACGGTTACCAGCGAAGAATGGCAACAGACGTAACTGACTGTACAATTACATGCATCGACCAGATAACATGAGCAGAGCAAGAGTCAAGGTTACTGTAGCAATGCATGGAATGTACCCCTCAGAGTACCTCGCTAGCTATATCTATTTATTGTGTGTAATTTTCTCTTTTAATCAATCTTGTCATCTACATTCACTATGCACAAGGTTCCCACTACCACTACAAGGCTTCCGCTACCAAACTCTAACAGACTTATCCTATCCAATGATCCTTATTCTAACATGGTATAAGATATGCTAAAACATCGTTCTTAAAAAACGATATTCATTATATAAATCTTACATTCAGGGCAAGCATCATGCCAGGCGCAGACTGCGGCGAAACTGGAGAGAATCCAGGACATCCCTCCACCAATGTCGCCTCTTGAACGACAACTGTGGACACATCGCTCATTGAGCAGCTTATTACCCGCATCAGCGCCCTGGAGAGTCATCAGCCGATGAGCATTGACGGCTCGAGCTAAGGCCGCAGACCCCCCGATCCACAAGGAGCCCATTCTGAACGGTCATTCACCTTCGACAATCGCGGAGCACAAGGATCTGCGCAAGCACAACAGGCACAATACGAGGCAATGACATCAATACAAAGCAAGTTTCTCTCAACATCAAAACTCAACGACCAAGCTCTTCGACGGAAAGGATTTCTACACTTGGAGCTTGGAGTTCGAACTCTTAGCTCAAAGCGCACATATCTGGATGTACTACGACGGGTCCTTACTCTTCCCAATCAACGGCTCACCTCAAGAAAAGACGCAATACTACAACGAGTCGTTGCTCGCCTTCACCGTCTTGATCCGGAACCTGACGCCCAAGGAGCAACTCAGCATCCGCTCCTTCAAAATCGAGTGGGCGCCCGCGCAACAATCTTGGGAGCACATGCCACATGTCAACGGACTTAGTGACACTTAGTCGCCTGCTAAACCAGCTCAAGATGTTCCCCAGAAAAAAAGGCCGGGCCATACATCAACCGCTGCAGAAATTTGAGGGACCAATTCAAGAAGAGCGGCGGAAACTTCCCTGACGACATGTTCGTCAATATCATTCTCGCTGGATTAAGTATGGACTGGCGCCACTGCAAATCGCTTCTCCGCACCCAAGGCACGCTCGGCGAAACTTCGCTCTGCGCCTCGCTCCTCTCCGAACAGCAGGAGATCGACCTGCACAACGAGAGAGGCAACAAGAAGGAGAAAATCGCGTTTTATACAAGCGCAGAAGGACCACCCGACAAAAAGAGACTCTTCTGCAAGTACTGCAAGAAGACAGGACATACGATCAAGGAGTGTTGGAAGTTGAACGGTAACAACAACGGCAACTACGGACAAAAGCAAGAGGGAGGAACGCCTTACCAGCAAGCAACCAGACTGTGTCCCCGCCCGCCGTCGCCAGCACTTCTCAGGCTCCGGCGCACATCTCTGCAAACGACATAGGGAAAAACAAGGTATTAACCTGCATGGTGCGTCGCGGACCTCCCCGACCCAACCGACACTACCGCTTTTTTCGCTCATGGGAAGACATGTGGCAACACCCACCTCAAGAAAGACCTGCAGGCTCGGTCGAGGAAGAAGAGGAAAACGACCCCACCTACGACGAGCTGACAGTCGGCCGCATCCAGTACGGCTGGGAAGCGCCACAATGGATCTAAGAGTCACCACCTACACGCATCGCACATGACGACGAAGGATACATTTACGAAGAGGATCACGACATGGGACACCACCTAACTCCTAAGCTTGCAAACATCGCCAAGGCAAAGAAGGGCGTCAACAAATGGTACCTGGACAGTTATTGCGATCAACACATGGTCTCGTCCAGCATATTCATTCTCAACAGTGAGGAACTGTTCAACGAGGTTGGGATTACCGTCGCCAATAACCAGACGATCTGGGCGAGAAGTCGTGGGCAGATACAGCTGGAGTCCAAGGACACGAACTACTGCATCCACATCAGCGACGTGCATGTCGTACCGGAGCTTCAGTTCAATCTCCTCTAAGTCGACCAACTGATGAAGTGCGGCGTCGAACTGCACACATGTGAAAAGGAGTTCCACTAAATACATGACGGCACCCTCATCGGAAAGGCGATAAGCGAAAACAGAGTCTTTGTCCTCAACTTCGACTCACCTGGAAACACTGGCGACAGAGACCGCATCATTGTCCTTGATCCACCAGGGCATCCGTCGCCACCAACATGGAGTCACCCAGAGGAGACAGACTACCAGCGACCGAGCCCCGAAGAAACCTTCCGTGCTCTTGCGGTACCCATTGCTTCAACCACGAATCTTACTGACACCGGACCACATGCAGTAGAAGAAGGAGAAGAAATCAGTTCGGAAACAGCAAACACGGGAGCAGGAGAAAACACCGCAGGC